CAACACGTTTCCTCGTCTGATTTCGGTGATTTCTTCCTCTTCAGTTTTGTCAGTTTTGGACATTAAGCGTTTTTCTTCTTCTCTGAAACGTGTTCAGTGTTGTTCGATAAATTCATGTTTGTGATATTTGAATCATGTGTCATAAAGCAAAAAGGAAGTGCTCTTCAGAATAACAGTCTGGCCTTTATGGAATAAACTCAGAAACAAACTGTTGTGTCTCGACTTGTTTTATTTTCTGAACTTCTAGGCTTCATATAAAAATGTTTGTGATGCACTGAAGGTCCATTTTGGACCAGTACTGGTGACATATGAGGTTCTGGATCAGAGATTCTGAAGGTTTTATATGAACAGCTGACACTGGTACCGGGCTGGACTGGCTGACTGTCAGAACCATCACTCTGGAGCCCCAGCTGGTTCTGCTGCTGTGGGTTTGGATCTCTGAGACCTGTTTAGGTGGGTCGTCTCCTGCCGAAATGTTCTGGTGACCCGCCATGTTCTGACCTGACCTGATGGAGCAGATTCTGCAGGTGAGCCCTCAGGTGTGTCTGGGTGACAGGTAATGATCAATAAGCAGATCATGAGAAAAACAGCCGATAATCAGCAGCTGTCAGCTTTATCAGGTTTATTTCTCATCAGTCACGCAGCGGCGCCACAGGTGAGCGTCCTGCTGTGCGGCCAGGTGTGGGTGGGGCCTGATTGGCTGACAGCTTTACAGGTGCTGGACTTTAGATTGAGATAAACCAACAGCAGCTGCTGACGTCAGCTCAACTGCAAGCTGACCCCGGCAGAGGTCACGCTTCCCCAGTGGGGGTCTTTAAGCAGCATGCTAGCAGCAACAAGCTGAAAACATGTGATGCTGGTCATGAATGACTCTGCAGAACCGGAACTGGGCCAATGGAGCCGACCCGCCGCTGGCTCCTCCGTTATCAGCTGCATTGATTTCTGGTGAGTCAGGGATCGATATAAAAGATCTGATCGGAGGATCGGATCAGAACCTCTTCCTCCTCTCAGCAGGACCAGGAGCTGAACGGAGCGCTGCAGGTAACTGGTTCTGGTTCTGGTTCTGATTCTGATTCTGGGTCGGATAAAACGGTCTTTAACCTCAAAAAGCTTTTCTTTAATATTTCAGGTTTGATTTCTTGGCTCTTAAAATAAAATAATTTAATGTTTTACATTTTAGATTTTATCAGAGAAAGTTTTCAGATTTTTGTTTCAAGATGTTTTAATCTGTTTTTATAGAAATTATAAACTTATCCTTCCATACTGAGAAAACCCAAATAAATATACACAAATTAATAATTTCTCCTTATTTTGGGCTGTTTCAGACCAGAATAATAATTTCAAAGTAATTAATGATTGGATCATTTTACGTTGTATTTGTGTAGCTTTAGCCAGAGAACATACTGGGAGAAATCGGCCGGTTCATTTCTGGCTAAATTCTGGTTGCTTTGAATATTTCAAAGTGCAAATTGTTCCAATATAAGAAACAACATGATTCTTATCCAACCTTATGAACTGAACTTAATTCAGCTTAACTGAACTGATTCTGTCTGAACTGAACTGATTCAATCTGACCTGAACTGATTCAGTGTGAACTGATTCTATCTGAACTGATACTATCTCAAGTGAACTGATTCCATCTGACCTGAACTGATTCAATGTGAACTGAACTGATTTCTCTCTGAACTGATTTTATCTGAACCGATTCTACCCCAATTGAGCAGATTCTATCTGAACTGATCATATATGAACTGATTTTACCTGAACTGAATTGATTCAATCTGAAGTGAACTGATTCTTTTTGAAGTGAACTGTTGAGGATGTCTCGCCGCCTGTCCTCTGTGGAGGTCGTCCTCTTCGTCGTCTCATCCCTCCTCTTCCTCTGCTGCGGTGGCCTCTGTGTCGTTTCTTGGCTCAGCCTGACTTCTGAAGGTAAGTGTTCCGGTTTCGCTCATGTGACGGCAGGTTCAGCGCTGATGATGCCATCAACGATGCGTCCAGGTGCAGATGAAGCCGCACAGCAGTCGGGTCAGTTGGTGATCACAGAAGGAGTCGAATTTTCTGAGGAGCTCCGAAACTCCAGTAGTCACCGGTTCAAATCCCTGGCCTTTGATATTCAGCAGCTGGTGAGGCTTTTATTTTGAAGGGTCACCTTAACACTTACCAGGGGCTTTTATTCTGAAATCCTGGAGACAGCATCCTGTTATAAAGTTGGCTTTTAATATAAAAACCAGGAAGTTTTGTTCAGCTTCAGGAGACGTAAACTGACAGCAGTGTGGCCTCTGATTGGTCGGCAGGTTTATGAGGCGTTCAGCATCAGCGACCTGTGGCGGTTCTACCAGTTCTGTTGGGTCCAAGACTTCAGGTCAGACTTACGATCAATCACTGACTAGTCACTGATCAATCAGTCAATCACTGATCAATCAATCACTGATCAATCAGCCAATCATTGATCAATCACTGATCAATAAATGAACCAACTTCTAATTTTTATGTATATAATGTTTTAAACAGGAACAGATGGAAACAATCTGTTCAGTTTCAGCAGAGTAAAATCTCGCATTTACATCAAACTAACCAAACTAAGCAGCATGGCAGTGTTTCCATGGTGACTGCAGGAAGCGGTCCAACAGATGGCAGGTCTTCCCCGAAGTGATGAGCTGTAAAACAGAGAAATAATTCATGGCAGGAAATCATTTCCAGCTTGGGCTTAGACATCAGAGCAGAAAGAAATACACAATTCACAACATGAGGAACCTCAAAATACTATTTAATACATGAAAATAACATTTAATACACGACAATGCCATTTAATACCACAGTAGAAAACATAATCTTGGATAATCTTGGAAAGTCAAAGCATCTGAAGAATAAAACCCAGCAGAGAGATGAGTGCAGCCAAGGGGTTTGTAGGTTTTGTAGTCCATATCGTAGATATGGGCTCCAGGTTTCCAGCAACAGGTGAACAGGTACACATGGCCAAAACTATGGCATCATCAAGATAAATGTTTGAAACTAATCTGACCTCATTTTGAGGGAAACTTGAACATTTTTAGTTTGAATTTCTGACACACCCACAGAATGAATCCAGAATAATTTCAGCTGCTCATCAGAAAGAGATTAAAACAGGAAATACGGAACTGGACAAATTAATTGATCATTGATTGTTTCATTCAGTGTGATTATTAATCATCTGGTGTTTGGTTCTGACCTCCAGTCCTGGCAGCGTGGTGGTGACCTTCGAACTGAGGTTCAGTAAGCTGATTGACACTGAAGAGGTGGAGCAGCAGCTGAGGGCGGGGCTTCAGGTGGCTGAGGGTGGGGCCTTGGTGATTGACATCAACAGCATCCAGATTACAGGTAAGTCTGTGATGTCACATCCTGATCAGGGGTCAGGAGACACGGCAGTTTTCTGACCCCTGAGACTGCCGTGATGTCATATCCTGATCAGGGGTCAGGATGTGACATCACAACATGAGCAGAACATTGGATTAGATTAGATTAGATTAGATTAGATTAGATTAGATTAGATGTAATCTGGCCATTCAGAAAGAAACACTCAGCTGATGTCCACCATGAGTTGATCCAGCGGCGGACCAAGCTGAAAGCAAAAAGTAGGAACCAGAACCGGAACCAGACCGGTAACAACCAGATGATCCAGCCAGGAGGGGATGAAAACAAGAAGCTTTTAAACTGGGGGAACTGGAAACCAGTGAAGCTTTCTGGAGCTCCCAGTCGATCTGAAAGATTATTAAACAAACCAGAGTTGATCTGGTTTTTCTAGATCTGGACTGGACCGGGTTTGGAAGAGGACGGATGGACTCTGAATCAGATCAATAATTATCAATAGTTATCAATAAGGATCCTTATTGATTGTTATTGATGAATGTTGAGCAATAGGCAGTTAACCCAGTCAGGCTTAATTGGATAATCTCTGTTAATCCGGTTTCACTTCTTTCAACCAACCGGCAGCTATCTGTGTTCCTGCAGAGAAACTTGAGAAGACAACACCTACAGCAACCAGCAACAAGCCTGCAACAACCAGCAACAAGCCTGCAACAACCAGCAACAAGCCTGCAGCAGGTCAGTTTTCCTCCAGGCAGAAGTTCAGTGCAGAGTAACCAGGTTCTGGTTAAAAGTCGACCTGCAGGTTCTGGACATTCTAACACTGACTGATCCATCTGATCCTGTCTCCAGTTTCTATGAGCTCTCCTCAGATCAAGGTCCGATCAGGTTCAGAACCTGAGTGGGTTCAATCAAACTCAAAAACTCGTTTGGGTTTATTGGTCCGAGTGTTTAGCTGTGTTTCCTTTAACCATAAAGTAGCACAAATAGCAATTAACATAGGGTTCTTTCTATCATGACCCAAAGCTCATGACCCATAGATGAGGGTAGGAACATATATTTAAATGTAAATCAAGGGCTTCACTATTTGACTCAGCTCTCTCTTCACTATGATGGACCGGTACAGCGCCCACTTCACTGTAGATGCTTCGTCAATCCATCTGTCAATCTCCTGCTCCATTTTTCCCTTATTCATGAATCCAGAGATACTTAAACTCCTGCACTTGGGGCAGGAGAAGGCACTCTACCCTTTTCCGGCTTTTTGGCTTCAGGGTGGGGCCCTGGTGACCCGCATCCAGGCAAGGGTACACTGATTCCAGAGGTTTTATTCGTCATAAGGGGTCTTCGGGCTGCGCTTTGTCTGGTTCCTCCCCCTGTAAGCCTTGAATGATCCTACCAGGGGCATGAAGCCCCAGACAGCATAGCACAGGGATCACAGGGACACTCAAATCCCTCAACCACGATAAGGTGGCAGCCCACAGACAGGTGGACACAGATCAGAAACAGAAAAATTGCAGGGGGTTAATAGGAGGAGACAATGGTTCCGATTGGGTTTTGATCGTTCTGGTCAGGTTCTGATTGGGTTCTGATTAGAACCTGACTGGGTTCTGATGGTTCTGTCTCTAATGGGTCTGTGTTTTGCAGTGACGTGTCCTCCTGGTCAGACTGCGTGTTCTGACGGGTCCGGTTGTGTTCCAAGCAACTGGTTCTGTGATGGAGTCCCCCACTGTTTGGACTCGTCTGATGAATCTCCCTTCTCCTGCGGTCAGTGAAGAATCCCAAAGGGCAAATAAACCAATCAAAGCAGTGCATTTTTTAACCAAGAGGGGCGGGGTTTATTTGGGGATGGTCATATTGCATTCAAGGACCTGTTAACTGCTAGGCACTCTCTCAGATAACAACAGGCTGCTGTGATTGGTTGATTTGCCCTGAAGGGTTTTGGGTTTTGGCAAGAATGTGATGCATTAGTTTCTGGAAATCAAAGGTGTTCTGGTCATGAAGGACTGTGATGTCTCTTCCTGTGTCTCCATAGCAACGCCATGTGATGGACAGTTTGTGTTAGAGGGGCTGAGCGGATCCTTCAGGTCGTCGCAGTCTGACGCCTACAACAACAACGTCTTCTGCCGTTGGATCATCAGGTCAAAACACGGTTCTGAAGGCTCTTCCTCACCCGGTTTCCTCTTTAGGTCCAATGTTTTCCTGTTGCGATGTTTTCAGGGTGAACAGGGGACTTTCGGCCCAGGTAACCTTCCAGCAGTTTGAGACGGAGGCGAACATCGACGTCCTGAGGCTGTACGAAGGAGTCGGACCCAACAAGGTTCTAGCAGGTCAGAACTTCTCGGTTCTAGAGGACCCTGAATGCCTCACGGTGTGTCCAACACATTTAACTTACAATTGGTGATTTTATTGGTAGCTGAGCTCTCAGGCTCCGCCCCCCCTGGTACCGTGTGGCTGCTGACCGACCAATCAACAGTGGAGTTTACATCGGACAGCTTCAACAGTCTGCCGGGCTTCAGAGCATCTTTCAGAGCTGCCGATACTGCTGGGCTGTCCAGTAAGAACCGGGTCGGGTCAGAACCCCATCCTACAGTCAGAACAGGGCTGGGTCAGAACCGGCTGCTTTCTGGTTCCAGACCCGGAGAAGCTCAGCTGTAGCTTCGAAGACGGAGTGTGTTTTTGGAGGCAGCAGCAGGACGATGAAGGAGACTGGATCAGAACCAGTGGCCCCACTTTCCCCTCATCAACAGGTCCAAATTCTGATCACACCCTGGGGAACAGCTCAGGTGAGTGGACCAGTTCATTTGAATGGACCCTTTAGAGCGGTTCTGGCGGGTGAACACTGATCTCTGATAGGCTTCTACCTGGTCACCCCTATGAGTCCTGGCCAATGGGAGAAGAGATTCTGGCTGCAGAGCCTCCCTTTGACTCCGTCCCCTCACCCCACCTGCCTGAGCTTCTGGTAAACAACAAACATGTGAAGATCTGCTGTCTGATGCTGGGTACCAGGTGTGTGAGCATGTCACCTGTCTGCAGGTATCACATGTTTGGTGTGGACGTCCATCGTCTCAGAGTCGTCCTTCATCCCTCACTGCCAGACGCTGATGCCATCGTGCTGTTCCAGAAAGACGGTAACTATGGTGACACCTGGAACTACGGACAGGTGACCCTAAACCTGACCTCAGACGCCATGGTCAGTGACATCACCAGGCAGTCCACATCCCAGACAGTGTCAGAGGTCACCTGACTGATCAAGCGGCCTGTACAGGTGGAGTTCGAAGCTCTGAAGAAAGAAGGCATGTGGAATGACATCGCTCTGGATGACATCACACTGACACCTGAGCCCTGTGGCCCTGCCCCTCCGGAGCCAACCAATGTCCCACCTCCCACCACTATAGCGCCCATACCACGTGAGTCAGCCATGCCCCCACATTACCTACACATCAGGTCACACTCCCACGCTAGCTAAAGATCAGGTCACACCCCCACGCTAGCTAAAGATCAGGTCACACCCCCATGCTAGATAGACATAGGCCACAGCCCCACATTGGGTAAACATCAGGCCACGCCTCCATGCTGGATAAACATTTATAATCTATAATCTAGTTGAACTCCAGTCAATCAGAACTCTGTACCTGAGGAAGGCCATGTTCATACCTGTACCTGACCCCGTCCTTTTCTCTGATTGGTTCAGCTGACTGTGGTGGACCTTTTGATCTCTGGGAGTCTAATTCCACCTTTAGCTCTCCAAACTACCCCCATTCCTATGGAAACATGGCCAACTGTGAGTACATCTGTGTTTCTATCTGTGTTTCCGAGCCTCGTCTACCTGCTAACCTCACCTGTCTGCTCACCTCTGCAGGTTTGTGGACCCTGCATGCGTCAGCAGGTCAGAACATTCAGCTCCACTTCCTGGACTTTGATGTGGAGGCAACCTATGACATGGTGGAGGTGCGGGACGGGACGGGGTCTAACTCCACCTTACTGGGTAGGCTCCAAGTTCACCTGTACCGAGTCTCCAGGTGGGTTTGCTCTGACTCAGGTGACCTGTTACTGTTTCCTCCCAGCTGTCCTCACTGGCAGCGCTGGCCCTGCCCACGACCTGTTCTCCACGTCCAATCAGATGATGGTACGGTTCTTCACAGACAGCAGTGGTGACGGCCGAGGATTCAAAGCCAACTTCACCTGTGGGGTGGCACTGGGGTCTCCAGGTGAGAGCGGGCCTCAGAGGTCCAGAATCTGGCCCGGCTGGAGGCCCTGATCACCGTCTGCTTGTGAACAGCTCCGTGTGCAGTGGCTCAGTTCCAGTGTCAGACGGGAGCCTGTATCCCTGGCAACAGCCAATGTGATGGCGCACTGGACTGTCCCGACGGTTCTGATGAAGCCGACTGCGGTACGTAACCGGGTCAGAACGGGAAGGGGTCGGGTCCAGGGAATCCCAAAACTGAGCCTCGGACCTGGTTCCAGTAGGATTGGGTAGAAGATCTGGTAGGAATCAGAACATCCCCCAGGCCCCACTCCCTAGTTTCAGGTGTTGGCACAAACAGGAACTGATGCGTTAACCCCTCCCCACCTGTTGCTGTGTCAGTCAAGCTGCAGGTAAACGGCTCCAGGCGGCTCCGGGTCCAGATCGGCTCCACTCCGCACACCGTGTGTTCTGACGGCTGGACCTCTCACCTGTCGGACTTCACCTGTCAGTACCTGGGATACAGGTACTCCTGATCTGCAGACAGGTCCGGTGGAACCAGAACCAGTTCTGAGTTCTGACTGTTTCCAGGTCTGGAGACGCATCTCTGCTACCAGCTCTGCCTCAGGACTCTCCGTTCGTATACATCAGCCTGACCAGAACCAGAACCGGTAACGGGTCACTGGAAACCAACGTGAGGTAAGCAGAAGCAGAACCAGATCTGGTTCAGAGGAATCTGCTGACCTCTGACCTCTGACCTCCACAGTGAGACATGCAGCAGCGGGGAGGTGGTGTCTCTGAACTGCACCAACCAGCGTGAGTAAAGCCGAACCTGAAGCAGAGAAACGCTGTAGCCTGAGGCACTGACTGCTGCTGTTCACAGCCTGTGGGCGCCGGCAGGTGACCTGGGACCAATCAGAGGCCAGCACACTGGACCAATCAGAGGGCCCCACAATGGACCAATCAGAGAGCAGAGGACCTGCAGATGGTGAGAACATGGATTCTGGGTTTAACCTCTACTTGACCTTGTCGGTGTCGTTGGGTTCAGTCTAACTGTTGCTGCCAGGTGAGCACAGAGTGGTGGGCGGAGTCAATGCAGCGAAGGGGGCGTGGCCTTGGATGGTGTCTCTGCATTGGAGGGGTCGCCATGTCTGCGGCGCCTCGTTGATCGGTAGCGACTGGCTGCTGACGGCGGCACACTGCGTCTATGGGTGAGAGACGCGGCTGAGGCTAGCAGCAGGTGAACCACTGGCCTGCAGGTGGCGCCATGTCCCGTGTTCTTCTTCTCTATCTACAGGAAGAATCTCCACCTGGAGTCCTGGTCGGCTGTCCTGGGGCTGCACGCTCAGTCACAGATATACGCTGCGGAGGTTCAGACCAGACTAGTCGATCAGATCATCATCCACAGAGAATACAACCGGCTGACCAAACACGGCGACATCGCCATGATGCGTCTGCAGCAGCCAATCAACTTCACCCGTGAGTTACACATCAGAGTCCAAGTTCCCTCACCTGACACTTGCATGTGACTGTAGACGCAGAGCTACAGCGCTCTGTCAACCCAGACAGAGCCCTGACTGTTTTTACCATCAGCCAAACAGATAACAACTCTTTCAGAGTTTTATCTTTCAGACTGATGGTAAACCCTGAGTCTTGTCTATTAGGCTGATGGGGGCCCTTGGTGTGTTGCAGAGTGGGTTCAGCCTGTGTGTTTGGCTGCTGAAGGTCAGAATTTCGCTGCAGGAAGGAGATGCTTCATTGCCGGCTGGGGCCGAGAAGCAGAAGCAGGTTAGAG